CAGTCACTGAATCAATTCACCTCATAGAGCTCCTTCCCCTCCTGCGCCGTCCCTCCACCCTTCCAAGCATGATGTCCTTCTCCAAGGACCGGTCTCTCCTTACAACATGTCCAAAGTATGTTACACGGAGTCTCAGAATCCTTGACTACAAGGAGCCTCCCGGTTTAACCCTCTCTAGGATGAATCTGTTTTCCTTGTTCTACCTAAGCACGCTAGACTCTCCCACTACTCACTGCCACCCACGCCTCCCTCACCTTCCGGCTTCCTTGCAGCCGACGGGAACTACTTCCGCCCGCGCGGGTCACGGCGTCTGCGCGGCGTGTTTACGCCACGCGTTCCCGGAAGTGGGAGGTGTTCGCTTGAGTTTGTGGCGCCGCCACCGCGGGAACAAGAACCCGGTAAATTTTCAACCGAGTAAGGAGAGGCTTTCGGACTTGGGTGATTGAGCGGGCGTGAGTGTGTGTCTCCAGCAGCTGCTTTCTTAGGTGACAACCAGCATGGGGGATCAGCAGCCTGGCGGCGCTGCCGTGGCTTCTGCACAAGAGTCGCCTCAGTCGGAGTGTGGGGAGGAGCCGCAGTGCCCGCCACCCGAGGTGAGGAGTCCGCCGCGCGCCCGCCGCCGCACCCTTCGCCCCTAAGGTGTTAGGCAGAATCTGCAGCGCGTGCATCTTTTGACCCATCCCTGGCCGCCTCCCCAGCCCCACCTTCAGGAGCGTTTACTCGGAGTGATTGTTACGCGCCTTCAGGTTTAAGAGTAAACGTCAAGACCAGAAGTTACGTGAACTGTGGTTTTCTGAAGTCCGAGTGGGAGTTCTGCCGTGAACATTGTGTTCACTGTTGGCCGTTGTGGTATTGCTAGCCCTCAGTGCTAGTTACTAGATTCTGAGTTTTGGGTCGGTTTGTGTTTTGTTTTGTCACATGTCCATTCTAGCTCGCTGGCCACACAAAGACCAGCAGTGAACGGCCATTGGTGGTGCAGTATGTAGTTTGCTGAGCGCTGCTCCAGCGTCCTGTATGGCACCCGAAGTGTGTAATTTGTTGATGTCTGTGCTACACCATCCTTAGAGGCAAGGCTGGTAAAACTTCCTCTCACTTAGTTTGGACATATTTTCAGGAGGAGCTCTCCCTTTTTGAAGGGAGACATCGTGCTGGGGAAGGTAGAGGGTCAGCGAAAGAGAAGACTTTCACTGAGATGGATTGACAGGAGTTTTGAGCATGTCAGAGGTTATGAAGATGGTGCAGAATAGGACAAGGTTTAGATCTGTTGTTCATAGGATCCCTATAAGGTACAATGGACTCGATGGCATCTAACAAGAACATGCTTCAAGTATGTTTTCTAGAGATCTTTTTGTGCTCATATAGTAAAGATGAGTGGAAAAAGAAGTCCTCCAATATTTCAGAAATGTTACATGAACTCTAGAAAAGGATTTTCCCCCATATTTTACTCTTTTTTGAATATATACATCAAAACATAAACCAATCCAACCATTTCTGCAAGTGCATTTTGATGACATTGATCACGTTAGGTTGTGCAATGATTCTCAGCGTCCTTTTATGAGTTGTTCATCCCTCATTAGCATAAACACACTCTGCCCCACCCCAAAGTGACTAATCTTTTAATTTGCTGTTGTCGTTTAACTCCATAAAGGTAGTTCTAAAAACATAATGCTAACGTCAGACCTTGAACTGTATTCCATTGCTACTGAGTCAGGACCTGTGGGTTTTCAGAAGCTATAAATTGTGTGGGAGGAGGTTGCCCATCTTTCTCCCTCAAAGCTGGTAGATTCAAACCACTTGCTGTTGTATTGACAGCACAGCTGCTAGGCCACCAGATAGCCTTTTTTAACGAGATAAACTAAACTATGGCTAGCTTTCAAGAAGACTTAAGGGTTTTGGTTGTTTGTTTTGTTTTACCGTTTATATATTATTTCCAGTAGTTTCAGGGATTCTTTTGGCCTCCATGGCTTCGGAAAAGTTAAGAACCTCAGATAATTTGAAATTCTATTTTGCATTTTCTTCCTTGTCAGCAAGATTCTTCTATGGAATATTTGCTCAGAATGCCCGGTAATGTTAATTGATAACCATCTAATTCTCCTGCTCTTGTGACAAAGGATGCATTTGTTTATGAATACAATAACCACACATTTAGTATCTTCCTCTTGTTCCTAAAGTTACGTTTTTTAAAATTGCCCAGTCTGGTATCTAGTAATTTTTTTCAAAATTCCTTCCCAGTTGTCTTAACAGAATGGTACTACACCTGTTAGTGCCTTCATGTCTGGTTTTTCCCAATTCACTGTTATCTCAAATTGATGTATATGTAAGTAATTTTCTTTATGATTTTGACATATTATTAGTAGATATTAATTACAGTGATAATACTGTAAAATGGATTTAAAACTTCTCATAAAGTCAATATAATTGTTCACTCTTGTTGTGTACTATTGAGTTGGAATCAACCCATAGCAGACCCGCCGGCAGGTTTTCAGAGGCAGTTAATCACACGGGAGGAGATTGCCCATCCTTCTCCCATGGATCAGCTGGTGCCTTCAAACTGTGTGCCTTTGGCATTGCAGTGCAACTTCTTGCCACTAGGCTACCAGAGCTCCCTAATTGTTCACTAGGGCTTTAAATTGTAAATAATGAAATGACAAAAAGATTCATCTTTACTAACAAATATATATTAAGCTCCTCATAGAACAAAGAAGAGTTCTAAATATCTCATGGGTGGCCAGAAGAACTAACAAGTCCACTTACAGGAAGTGCAGCCTCCTATAGATGTCATCAGAACAGAGCAAAGAGATACTACATGGTTCAGAATTGGGAAGGGTGTATGCCGGGGTTGTATTCTGTTTCCATACGCTTTCAATCTATATGCAGAACAGATCATCTGCGAGGCTGCAAGGAGGAATGTGGCATCAGGATTGGAGGAAGATTCTTCAATAACCTTTGCATTATGCAAATGACACAATGCTACTTGCTTAAGCTGAGGAAGACCTGAAGCACTATCTGCAGAAGGTCAAGGACTGAAGCCTTCAATATAGATTGAAGACAAATATTAAGAAAACCAAGATACTCACCACTGGGCCAATTGGCAGCATCATGATGGCTAGTGAAGAGATTGGGATTGTAAACAGCTTTAGTTTGCTTGGTTCCACAATCAACATGCTTGGTATCAGCAGCCAGGAAATCAAGAGATAAATTGCATTGGGAAATTCAGCTGTCAGGAATTTGTCAGAGTACTGAAGAGCAACAATGTCAGTCTGGAGACTCAAGTTGTGCTTGATCTAGACCAATGCCTTTGCAATTGCTTGCTGTGCATCAGAGAGTTGGACAATGACTAGGGATGATAGAAAATTGATACCTTTGAGCTATGGTGCTGGAGAAGAGTATTGAATATACCATGGACTGCTAAGAGAACAAACAGGTTTATCCTAGAGAGGGTGAAGCCAGGTTGCTCCTTGGGTGCAAGGATTCTAAAGCTTCATCTGTCATATTTTGGGTATGTTGCAAGGAGGGACCAGTCCTTGAAGAGGGACATCATGCTTAGAAGGGTGGAGGGACGAAGAGAGAGAGGGAGACCATCAATGAGATGGTTTGATATAGTGACTAAGGTAATGAGGGTAGGCGTGTCAGAGATAGTAAAGTTGGGACAGGCTAGAGCAGGTTTCAGGGCTGTTATACACAGGGTCTCTATGAGTCACAAGTGACTCATAGCACATAACATAGAGGCAACGATGTTGTTGATTGCCATTGAGTTGAGCATGACTCATAGTGACCCTATGAATAGAAGGCCTAAAGCCTCTCTATATCATCATATATCAAAGTTCACAGAGTTTCCAGAGGCATATTGTTTAGGAAGTGGATGCCACTCTTGCAAGGATAGTGAAACTTAATCACTGGTACTTTGGACATGTTATCAAGAGAGGCCAGTCCTTGGAAAAAGATATCATGGTGGGGAAGATAGAGGGTCAAAGAAAGAGAGGAAGACCCTCAACAACATGATTTGACGGAAGTGACTGATAAGGTGGTATTCACTTAGATCAATTGTTCATAGAGTTGCTTTGAGTCACAGTTCACTTGATGACACCTGACAACAACAGCCATCAAATAGTTATTTTAAGGGGCTTCCTTTGTCTTGCTCCTTCCCTCTATGGCCAGTTTTCCACATAGCAGTTAAAATTATAATTTTTTTTTTTTTTTTAAGGAATTTAAATGTGGTCGAGTTACTATCCTCACCACTCTCAGCTTGCTTCCTAGTTAGATCTGGCTTCCACCTCCATTCCTAATTGCTTGTTACTCAGTTTTTCTCTTTGGCTCTTAGTGCCCCAGCTTCATCATGGTCATTTATGGTACAAGGATGTTTATATGTTCTGTATGACCTGCACACTGTTCTCTGCCTCTTTGCTTAATTATTTCATTCTCCTCATGATACTGTGTAAGACTGTTGTTGTTGTTGTTACATGCCATTAAGTCATTAAGTGACTCCTGGTGACCTTGTGTACAACAGTCCTATCCTGTGCCAATCTTATTTTCTCCAACAATTCTACCCTCATTACTCTAGCCACTGAATCAATCCATCTCATCGAGATTCTTCCTCTCTTGTGCTCTACCCTCCCAAGCATGATGTCCTTCTCCAAGGACTGGTCCCTCCTTGCAGCATATCCAAAGTATGTCCAACGAAGCTTCAGAACCCTTACCTCCAAAGGGCATCCTGATTTCACCCTCTCCAGGACGAACCTGTTCTCCTAACAGTCCCTGGTAAATTTGTACTTTTCTCCAGCACCACAGCTCAAAGGCATCAGTTCTCCTTATATCATCCCTAGTCATTGTTCAGCTTTTTGATGCATAGTAATTGCAAAGACCTTATTAACCTTAATACCTACTAAAGTGCCCCAAAACATTTTATTTTGTCTCCTTCTTTAATCTGATACTGTCAATAACATCATTATGTAGCTGAGTTTTATAATGATTTTATTTTTAATAAGGCATATGATTTAATACATTATTATTAGGTACCATCAAGTTGAGTATGACTCATAGTAACTGTCAACCTCAGATCTGAACCCTTTTCTTTCCTTTGCCATACTACTGCATGCAGTCACTAAACAGTCCACCCGGTTAATGGTCTTTCTCACCTTTGCTGTCCCTCTACCTTTTCAAGCATAATGCTCTGCTCCAAAATCAGTGAGATGACATTTAATATCTTTGTCTTCAGGGAACACTCTGGACATTCCTTCTACAAGATGTATCTGTTCTTTTGCCAGTCCATGGGATATTTAGTACTCTTCCACAACTCAAAGGCATCAATTTTTTTTCTGTCATTCTTACTAATTTTCTAGCTCTCAGTAGCAAATGATTGAAAAGACCGTGGCCTGAATCAGGCCAACTTAATGCTCAAACTTAAATCATTGCCCCTCAATAATTTGGAGAGGTCCTTGACTGCAGTTTTGTATTCCAATAAAAATTATCATTAACATGTCTTGAGTGCATGTTTGTCCAATTTCAAAGTGCAGAATTTGGTAAAAATATTCCGTTTCCTCCGCTTTGACTTTAGCTGTTTGTGTGTATGTTTGAATAATATTCATATTAGCAGGCCTTCTTGCACAGATATGGATAATATCCTGTGACTTACAATATGATTCAGTATATACTTTTCACTATGATAGAAAGTTTTAAAATATGAATTTCATAGTTGGAAAAGCCTAACGAAGATATGGAGATTAAAATGGCAAAAGTTTTTTTATCTGTTTGCTGTTAGTAAAATGATGTTAGAATTGTTTTTCAATTATGATTTTTGGAGTTTAGCTAGAAAATTCCCATTATCCTTAGTGTTCTTTTACACTTAAGGAAGATGTTGCTTTTTAAAATTCATCAAATTGGTTTTTTTAATGAAAATTTCCATTATCCTTAGTGTTTTTTTTTTAATTTCGTATCATTTTTCTTTTTATTAATTTTAATGAAAATTTACATAGACTTTAGATTTCCATTTATTCATTGTTGTACACTTTCTTCCCTGCCCACCCCTGCCCCTCAATTCGCTCTTCTATTTGAAAAGTAAAAGAAAAATTATTTCATTGTTAAACAATCCTTCCCGCCAAGACCAGTCCATTGTGCAGCCTTTGTTCTGGACTCTTGTCATGACAATAATACCTAATCATATATCCCTTTTAAACAGCTCTCTCCTTCCTCTGTTTCAATGCAGTATACATTATTTATCTCTTCTTCCTCGGTCTCCTCTCAACTCCGATGTCAAGTTTCATTTCACAACAGTGGCACTATATGCAGTATTTGTCCTTTTGTGACTGAGATATTTCACTCAGCATAATGTCCCCCAGGGTCACCCATTTTATATATTTCATGAGTTCATTTTTTTTTCAGCGCAGCATAGTATTCCATTGTGTGAATATACCAGAGTTTCTCTATCCATTTGTTTGTTGATGGGCAAACACTGTTAAAATGACATAGAATTGGGCAAGGTTTTGGCCTGTTGTACATAAGACCACTATGAGTCAGTCAGTGCAGGTAACCTGTCAACAACAACAGGAGGTTTGCAAGGGGTCCTAGTGGCACAGTACCTATGTGATGGCCTGCTGGATTGAAAAGCCGATGAATCTACCAGCTGTGAGAGAAAGAACAATCTGCTTCTATAAAGACTTACTACCTTAGAAGCCTGTTACATGGATACCCTGAGTCAGAATCAAATTTCCAGCAGTGGGTTTGGTTTTGGTTTAGTTATTAACAGTTGAAGAACCAGTGGAGCTCTGGTGGCCTAGTGGCAAGAAGCTGCACTGCAATCCCAGAGGTGGTGGTGGTTGTTGTTTAGTGCCGTCGTACGCAGTTCAAATCCACCAGATGCTCTGCTGGAGAAGGAGGGACAGTCTCCTCCTGTACCAGTCAGATCTGATTTGATGGTACACGTAAAAATAATACAATAAAAAACCAAACAAACAAAAAAACACTACATTAAAAAAAAGTTAAAGAACCTTAGTGGTGTAGTGTAAACTGGAAAAACTGATAGAAGAATTAACTAGATGGCAGTGGGTTATTTGTGTTTAAATTTTTCAGTGGGTTTATAATCATATCTCATCATTTTAATATGCAATTGGCTTAAGGTATTGGTTATTTTATATGCATATTTGCCAACTACATCATCCATGGTGAGCAGTCTTTTTAAGATATATTGTCTATTTTTTATAAAGGGCTGATTGTTTTCTTAATGTTGAGTTTTAAGAGAGCTTTGTATAATTTTGATACAAATTCCTTATTGGGAATGAATTTTGCAATGTCTTCTCTCAGTCTGTGGTTCATCATCTTTGTTTTCTTTAAAAATATTTTTGTTCAATTCTTAGTGTTCTTTTAGACTCAGAGAAGATGTTGCCTTTTTAAACACATCATCTCCCATTAAATGGATTTTTTTTTAACGAATGAATTAAAAATTCATCTAGGCTTGTCTTTTGTATATATAGAAATATTTTATAGGTTTGAGAACCAAAATAATGGAATATTTCCAAGGTATGTTTTCAGAATGTTCTGACCACAGAAAAAGTTTCTTATGAAATAATTTCTAGCTCGTCAAAATATTTTCCTTTATCTTCAAACAAGTTCTTTAGCTGATTGTATTTATTAAAAGCCAAACAGAAAATTAAGTTTTTGATTGGGTAGAGTGTTTAGAATTTTGTTTTGACTTGTTTCCCTCCCTGTCTTTCCCAAAAGATGTTTTGATTTAAGGAAAGAGAAAAGATATATAACTGATGTTGTGTTGGTTTTGATTTTGTGATCCTATGTGACAGAGTAAAACATTCCCATTGGATTTTTTAGCCTGTCATCTCTATGGTCCTTAAAAAGGATTGCATACAGCATCAGGAAAACAAAAATCTTCAGCACTGTTTGATGAACAACATCATGATAGATTCAGAAAAGATTGATATTGTCAGTGGTTGATATTTTTAATATTGATATTGTTTTCCTTGGATCCATAGTCCGCACCCTTGGTACCAGCAGTCAGGAGATTGGGAGCCATATAGCATTGGGAAAGTGCTGTCAGGAATCTCTCCAAAATCATGAAGAGCAGTGATGTCATATTGAAGACTAAGATGTACCTGATTCAAGTCACAGTCTTTCTTGCCAATAAGCTGCTATGCATCTGGATAATCCTGAAAAGGATGACAGGAAAAGAATCAATACATTTGAATTATGCTGGAGGAGAGTGCTGAATATCCTATGGAATGCCACAAGAACAAAGAGCTGTCTTAGAGAAAGTGCAACAGAGTGTTCCTTGGAGACAGAGATGGTGGAATTTCATCTCACATATTTTAGACATGTTAGGAGAAGCTGTTCCTTAGAGAGAGATACCATGCTTGGGAAAGTGGAGAGTAAATGAAGGAGAGGAAGACCTTCAATGAGATGGATTGATAGCTGTGTTTGCAACTGTGGACTCAAATGTGTCAAAGATGGTAAGGATTATGCAGGATAAGGGCACAGTTTTCATAGAGTCTCCATGATCCTCCTTGACACTAAGACACTTAACAACAGTCTCCAGGGAGCTGATTGGATCTTACTCCTGTGGAGCAATTGGGTAGATTTGAATGGACCCATTTTGGTTAGTAGCTTAGCCATAAGCAATCATGCTGCCAACGTAAAGCTACACAGTTCGAATCCATGAGCTACTCCTTGGGAGAAAGATGAGCAGTCAACTCCCTTGCTATTTACTGCCTTTGAAAACCCACTAGAGGGTCAGTTACAGGTCAGTTCCAACTCGATGATACATAGTAATAACCACTGAGCTGTTTATAATTATTTGAATAACTGGTATATTTGTAAATTTTGGAAACTTGAGTTTTGTAATCAAGTTCATGCCATTTTTTGCCTTGAATACTAGAGTTTTGGACAAGGTTTATAGTCTTAGGATTGACATGCTCTCAATTTTTAGTTTTTCATTTCTATGTACCTTCACTTTGCTGTTCCTAAATATTTAGCTGTTGTTTACATATTTTTATAACTGAGTACCTTAGTTAGCTATGTCAAATAAAAACTGCTCAATATAAAAGTAAGTAAATGACATCTAAATACTTGGGAACAGCAGAGTGAAGAAATTCTAGTGTAAGGAGTTGTGCTGCCAAATCATAGGCATGCAGTTCAAATCCACTAGCTGCTCCGTAGGAGAAAGATTTGGGGGGGGTGGGGGGTGGGTGTCCTCTTTCTGTGTTATTTACTGCTTCTGAAAACCACTGGAGGGTCATCTATGAGTGGTTCCACTCGATGGTACCATAGTATATGAAATGAAGTCTGATTAAAAATTCTCAGGAAGTTTCTGATTTATTAATGTACTTGGTTCATGTATACATATTTCTTTTTAATATTTCTTGCATAAACGCCTTTACAAATTGTAATGGTTAAAAAGTAAAGCTACCATTTATTAAGAGTCATCATTGGTATGGTATTAAGAGCCTGATCATCATATTTTATCCCGTTAATATTCCTCTCCAAGTAATACCATTGTTATCTTTGTTTTCTGTCGTTGAATTCGTTATGATTCATAGTGACCCTCCAGGGAAGAGTGAAATTCCCCCATAGCAGACTCCCACATCTTTCTCCTCCACAGTGGCTGGTGGGTTCAAACTCAAGCAGCGAAACATTTAACCACTGCTCCACCAGGGCTCCTTACTGTTACTCAGTCGGTACCTTTTGAGACAGTTGCTATTATCCTTTATTTTATAACAAAAGAAACTGAAGACCAGAGATTAATAAATAATGCTACTAGTTTTGCCAGGGAGCTCTGGTGGGCTACGGGGTAAAGAGACTCTTAACCCAAAGACAGGTACTTAGAATTCACCAGCTGCTCCAAGGAGAAAGATGGGCATTCTCCTTCCATGTGATTTAAAAACTGAAAACCTGCTGAGGGGTCAGCTGTGAATCGGTTCTGACTCATTGCCACAGAACAACAAAGTCTTGCTAGCAAATGATCAACTGGAGATCTTGCTAAGATGCTTCTGACACCCACATGGATGGTCTTTGTTTTTGATCTTCATTGCTTCTAAAGAACCTTATGGCCTAGAATAGGGCAGGGTATTGTGTTGGAAATACTTCTTCCTGTTCTAACCTGTCTCCACTAACTGAAATGACCATGTCTTGTTTAACATACAACGGAACGTCAGTAGTTAAAGTTGTTGTTTGTACTAATTGTGAACTATTTCCTTTTTTCTTTCTTTGCAGATGAAACATCGATGTAGATTTGATGGCCAAGAAACACAAGGAACTAAATACACTAACTCGAATACAAGTGATTTCAGTGACCCAGTTTACAAAGAGATTGCTATTACAAATGGTTGTATTAATAGAATGAGTAAAGAAGAACTCAGAGCTAAACTTTCAGAATTCAAGCTTGAAACCAGGTAATTAAAAAGAATATTTTTAAAGCCATAAAAATATTCCCATCGCGTTCTAAAAAATCTAAAAACACTGTAGAGGGCCGGGGGTTATCATCTGCACACATACCATAACAAGTAACCACTATTAACATTGCAAATCACACTCTAATTTTCATCCTTGTGAGGAAATCTTTGCCTGCAACTCTGATTTTTTCTGTCCTGTTAGTTGCCCTTGAGTTGACCATGATGCCTAGTGACCCTGAGAACATCAGATTAGAACCTGGCTTCGCCTGTGTCACATTGTCTGTCATGGCCCAGCCCATTGTTGCACTCACTGTGCTGAGTCAGACTGTTAGATGATAAAAATAGACTTGCTGGGTCAAGAGTCTTTGAATTTAAAGATCCATCTGCAGTATATCCATCCAAGTGTGTGTCTCATCATACCAAGTGTGTTTTTGTGTATTTTTGCTCATTATATTGATGGATAATTACATCTTCTGTTTTATTTCTTTGATTATCAGTGATGTTAAACTCTTCTTTGTTTTGGCCATTTGTATTGTTTTTACAAAGTAGACTTGTTTGAAACCCAGTAATATGAAAAAATAATTTACCTTTTAGGAAGGAATTTATTTTTCTGTTTCAGTTTCTAAAAGTATGCAGAAAGGGAGCTCTGGTGGCTTAGTGTCAAGAAGCTATGCTGTAATCCCAGAGGCGCATGGTTTGAATCCACCAGATGCTTTGCTGGAGAAGGAGGAACAATCTCTTCCTGTGCCAGTCGGATCTAATTCGACAGTACACAACAAACAAATAAACAATTAGTATGCAGAATGATAGCATATTCTCTGTGTTTAATAAATGTGTGTACTAAATAAGAAAACAGTATAGCTTCAGCTTTGTAAGTACTTGTCTTTAAAATTTAGGGGTATCTGAATTTTTTTATTATTTTTTATTTTTTGAAAATCACTTTGAGTTAACTTACCCTTTCAAAGACCCATTTTTGTGGAGGATAAAGCAAGAATGACTTCTTCTTCTTGTTGTTATGTGCCGTCAAGCCATCTGCGACTCAATGAATCTGTATACAATAGCCCTAAACCCTGCTCTATCCTGTGCCAATCTCATTGTCTCTGACACACCTATCCTCATTACCCCAGTGACTGAATCAATCTATCTCATCAAGGATCTTCCTCTCCTGTGCTGGCCGTCCACCTTCCCAATTATGACGTCCCTCTCTTAAGAACTGATCCCTACTAGCAGCAGCCTGGTTTAACCCTCTTCAGGATGAACCTGTTTGTTCTCTTAGCAGTCTGTGGTGTATTCAGTACTCTTCTCCAAAACCACAGATCAAAGACATCATCTCTTCTCCTTCTATGATCTCTAGTCATTGTCCAGCTCTCTGATGCATCGCAAGTGATTGCAAAGATCATGGCCTGTATCAGGCACACCTTAGTCTCCAGACTGACATCACTGCTCTTCAGTACTCTGGAGAGGTCTCTTGACAGCAGACCTTCACAGCACAATAGGTCCTTTAATTTCCTTTCTCCTGGTTCCAGGAGTGTTGATTGTGGAGCCAAGCAAAGTAAAGCTGTTTGCAGTCTCAGTCTCATCACTATCCATCATGATGTTGCCAAAAAAAGTTGTGAATGTCATAAAGACAGTAAAACTTCTAGGACTCGAGAAAATTTGACTATATGGAATGTTGTTGATATGTGCCATCGAGTCACTTGTGACTCACAGCAACCCTATGTACAACAGCCCTAAACTCTGCTCTGTCCTGTGCCGAGACTCCCATCCTAATTATCCCAGTCACTGAATCAATCCACTTCATAGAGGGCCTTCCCCTCCTGCGCTGTCCCTCCCTCCCAAGCATGATGTCCTTCTCCAAGGACCAGTCTCTCCTCACAACATGTCCAAAGTATGTTAGACGGAGCCTCAGAATCCTTGCCTCCAAGAAGCTGCCCAGTTTAACCTTCTCCAGGACGAATCTGTTTTCCTAGCAGTCGATGGTACCCTCAACACTCTTCTCCAACACCACAGCTCAAAGGCATCAATTCTCCTTCTATCCTCCTTGGTCATTGTCCAACTCTCTGATACATAACAAGTGATTGCGAAGACCATGGCCTCTATCAGACGCACCTTGGTTTCCAGAGAGAAACCATTGCTCTTCAGTACTTTGGAGAGGTCCCTAACAGCAGACTTTCCTGTGGCAATGGGTCTTTTAATTTCGTGGCTATTGGTGCCAAGAGTGTTGACTATGGAGCCAAGCAAACTAAAGCTGTGAACAATCTCAGTCTCTTCACCATCCATCCTGATGCTGTCAACTGGTCCAGTGTTGTGAATCTTTGTCTTCTTGACATTGAGCCTCAATCCATATTGTAGGCTGCAGTCCTTGACCCTCTGCAGCAGGTGCTTCAAGTCCTCTTCAGTTTCAGCAAGCAGGGTTGTGTCATCTGCATGACACAGATTGTTGATAGATCTTCCTCCAATCTTGACCCCACATTTCTCCTCATAGAGTCCAGCCTCCCGGATAATCTGTTCTGCATAGAGGTTGAAAAAGTATGGAGGCAGGACACATCGCTGGAGTACGCCTTTCCCAATTTTGAACCATGCAGTGTTCCCTTGCTCTGTTTTTGACGACTGCCTCCTGGTCCAAGTATAGGTTTTGCATTAGAACGATCAAATGTTCTGGGATTCCCATTCTCAGAGTTAGCCACAGTTTGTTGTGATCCACACAGTCAAATGCCTTTGCATAGTCAATGAAACACAGATAGACATTCCTCTGGTATTCTCTGCTTTCAGCTAAGATCCATCTTATATCAGCTACAATATTCCTAGTACCATGACCCCTTCTAAACCCAGCCTGGACTTCTGGCAATTCTCTGGTGATGTGCTGTTCCAGTCGTTTTTGGATAATCTTCAGTAGAATCTTTCTTGCATGTGAAATCAATGAGATTGTTCTATAGTTTCCATACTCTGTTGGGTTACCTTTCTTTGGGATGGGAACAAATTTAGATCTCTTCCAGTCACTTGGCCAAGTGGTTGTTCTCCAGATTACTTGGCACAACTTGGTGAGCACATCCAGGACAGTATCTGTTAGCTGAAATATGTCAATTGGTATACCATCTATTCCTGGAGCCTTATTTTTTGCCATTTCCTTCAAAGCAGCCTGAACGTCTTCTTTCATCACCATAGGCTCTTGCTCATATGTTGTTTCATGAAATTCTCCTGTGTCTTCCAATTCCTTTCGATACAGTGATTCAGTATATTCTTTCCATCTTCTTTTAATACTTTGTGGATCATTTAACATTCTGGTGAAAGCATCCTTGATTGTAGCAACTCGAGGTTTGAATTTGTTCTTCAGTTCCTTGAGCTTAAGAAATGCTGAGCGAGTTCTGCCCTTTTGATTTTCTGACTCCAACTCCTTGCACATTTCATTGTATTATTTTGCTTTGTCATCCCGTGCTGCCTTTTGAAATCTTCTATTCAACTCTTTAGTATCTTGAATTCTTCCTTGTGCTTTGGCTTCTCTGTGCTCCAGTGCAATTTTCAGAGTCTCTTCTGACATCCATTTTGGTCTTCGCTTCTTCCTCTTCTGTCTTTGCAGTGACCGTTTGCACTCTTCCTGGATGATACCCTTGATATCCTCCTACAACTCGTCTGGTAGTTGAAAATAATTCTTATTTCAAGATATTCTTGGATCTTATATTAGTATTCCTACTCTCCTTCAAAATAATGCCTTGCTCCTTACAAAAATGGCTTCATATGGCATCTGACCTCTTAACTTTACATGGTGGGAGAATTCATCAGCATTAGTAGCCCAAGGTAGATCACTGTGAGGTGGAAGTAATACATAGTCCCATGCTCTAAACTTTTCACTAACTCTGTCAGTAACAGTTCTCCTCAAGACACTGCTTCTTTGCTGAGTTTAGTACTTTGTTGCATTGGCAACACAAAAGTCACAGATAGTACCCACATTTAGGAGGTTTATTAAGGAAATTACTGGTTACAGATTATGATCAGAAGCGCAGGATCAGGACACCTTCTTGGTTGTGTGTACTGACAGACCTCTCTCTGGCACTTGGCCTTGTGGTCTTGGCCTCTGCTCGGACAAGTGTTACAAATCTCCTTTAGTTCTGCCAATTAAGTGCACAAAAGCTCTCCACCCTTTTAACACATTTTGGCTAGAAGGTGCTAACTCACTTTTTGAGTTGACAGAGCTACCTCCCAGGGTAGGCGTCCAAAGGCATGTCACTCTGACAGCAGACCCCACCTGAAGGCACTTAGCTTGCTTTCCCAGGGGACTGGGAAACCCAGTTCTGTTTTGTAGTAGTCTCCTGGTTCTGCTGTTGTTCTTTCTTGCCATCTCTCTGGTGTTAGCGGCTCACCGTCTACTGGATCAAGGTAGGTGTTTGGCTTATGGATCCCAGGTCCTAAGGATGTGCAGCACTCCTGGTTCTTGACTAACAGAATAGGCCCTCCTCCCCATCTGGGATGGCTTATTTTCACTTTGAAATGCTGATGCCACATTCCACTTCATTAAGTCCACCCTCCTGGATGATCTGTTCTGCATATAGATTTAAAACGTATGGAGGTAGGATGCATCCCTGATGCGCACCTTTCCTGATCCTGAACCATGCAGTGCTTCCCTGCTCTGTTCTAACTACTGCTTCCTGGTCCAAGTACAGGTTTCGCATGAGCACAGTTAAGTGTTCTGGGATCCCTGTACTTCAGGTTAGCCACAGTTTGTTGTGATCCACACAGTCAAATGCCTTTGCATAGTCAATGAAACGCAAATATTTTTCTGATACTCTCTGCTTTCCGCCAAGATCCATCTAACATTGGCAGTAATGTGCCACAGCCTCTTCTAAACCCAGTCTGCACATTTGGCAGTTTTCTGCTGATGTTGCTGTTCCAGTCATTTTTGTATAGTTTTCAGTAGGATCTTGCTCGCATGTGATGTCATACTTTTGATAATTTCTACACTCTATCGGGTCACCTCTTTTGGACTGGTATTAATATAGGTTTGGCTTTTTTTTAATTTTATTCTGATTTACTTATAAAGTTTGAATACATTGTTTTCAACAGAAGATCCTTCCCATTTTCTTTACCCCACCCATCCATCAAATTGTTTAACCCTGTGGTTAGCATCCTACCCTCCCCATTTTCACTTCTCTATTTCCACCCTCCCCTCCCATGGATCCTCATACTCATTCTATAATAATGGTTTTATACAGTGTTTGTTCTTGTGGAATTGAGTTAGTTCACGCAACATAATGCTCTCCATTCCCTCCCAAGTTAGGAAGTTATTAGTCCATGGCAAGTTGCACAGCTAATGCAAAGGGTGCACTTATCTGGCAGTTTGAATGCATCAGGGCCTCTGAGAGACCAAGATAGCCTACTCTTGCCTGTTGATTTATAGCTTCTGAAGCCTATGGAGGGTCAGCAGTGAGATTGAATTGATTGAGTGGCAGAGAAAGAACCGGTTAAGAGCCAGATTAAAGGAGAAGAGATGGTCAATTTACCTGCGTTTTCATGCTCTGTAGTTTGTATTTGTTTAGAGAAATCATTCAGTATTAACGTAGTTTTTCGATCATACACATCATCTTCATATGGAAGGTACTGTGATTGTCCAAGTTACAAAGATTATGATCTGAAATACTACTATATGTTGGAGAAAATGTTCTTACATATTACTAAATAAAAAGTTACTTGTGAAGAAAAACAATTTTCTTTTTTGTATATAAATACTTGTTAAACTTATAATTTATGATAATCATTCATTAGAGTTATTACTATTTATAGTATTTCATTTAGTTCCTTGCTTGCTTTGCTTTGAGTATTGCTTTCCTTACATTTATTTTACATGACAGTTGCTAAATGATGCTGTGACTATCAATATTGAACCCAGTCCCATCAGGTAAGAGTTCATTACTGCCTGTAAAATTCAAGAGCAAATTTTATTTTTATTTTTCCTTAGAGGAGTAAAGGATGTATTAAAGAAGAGGCTGAAGAACTATTGTAAGAAACAGAAGCTGATGTTAAAAGAGGACAGTTGTGCTGGCAGTTACTATGACTACATTTGCATTATTGACTTTGAAGCAACTTGTGAAGAGGGTAACCCACCCGAGTTCATACATGAAATAATTGAATTTCCTGTGGTCTTACTGAACACTCATACTTTCGAAATAGTAAGTGATACATTTTCATTTTAGCAACTGCTTTGGTATTGTAAGGCGTCCTGGTGGTACAGTCATTACACACCCAGATGTTGATTAAAAGCTCCAGTCCTCCAGCCACTTCATGGGAGCAAAATGTGACAGTCTGCTTTTGTAAAGATTTACAGTCTTAGAAACCATAGAGCTGTCTGGTCTTCCCACTGTGAGATGGAATTGAATTGGTGACAAAGGATTTAAAATTTTTTGTTTCCTTGGCTTACTGTGTTTCCTAAACAAGTTAGAATCCTTTTTGTTGCTCAGTGAGAATTAGAGTCCGCAGGTGGACTTTTTTTCCTTGCTGTGTATTGTGTGTCACCATAAGGAGTAGAAAACCTAAAGTATTTCCCTGTAGCAAAATAGAAAAAAAAATGGTTCATTAGTTTAGAACACTGATCTGGATGGACATCACATTCACCTGGAGAGTTTAAAACATTATTGATACCTGGAGCCTGTCCTAGAGCTGCTGATGCCTTCTGTGGTGCTAATCCTAATCAGGGTTTTTTTTTTAAGCTTTTCAGTTTCTTTTAATTTGGAGTCATGATTACAGACCACTGCTATAGAGTAATGAGAACTATTACGTATTTACACAAGTTGCTTTTTAACCGAAAACTGATCGTCTTTCTAGAAGCTACCCTAATCATTTGGTGGAAAGTTTATGTGAAAAATGAATTCTAGAACCCTACCTTCTAAGGATAATTTGTGTCCTTTCCAAATTCGGTGGTTGGTAGATTATTATTAGTTCAGGAATCTTTAACAGGAATTCTCCAAACCAGAAATATTGTTAGCCTTAAAAAGTTTGACCAAGAATATCATAATATCTAATCTAATCATGTCACTTCTGTGATATCTACATTTATAACCAACATGCTGTGAATATGTTTTTAAAGCTCCACGCATTAAAAAGCATTGATTTTTCTTAATTCTCTTCAAAGCCTCTTTTAGTCATATGCCTATTCATTCTACTTATATACTTTTAGTCCAAAGCAGATAAAAAGTTAATAAAGGGGAAATGACAGCTCAAAAGGCAGTCTTGCATAATTCAGTAGTTTTCTCTTTCTCTCTTCCTCAGAGACATTATTCTAACAAATCTCTCAGAGATATTCATGACTTTTTGCTCACTACCTGTTTTTGTTCATATACAAACAAGCTGTTCTTTTTTCGCCCTATAAAAATATCTCCTTGTGATCCTACTTCCTTACAGCTGTCCCGTTTCATTTTCCTCTTTACATCTGAATTCTTAAAAAATCTGATTTCTTTTCCTCTCCATCTTTTTTCCATTGCAGCATTTTTTACATGTATATTTTGTTGACAGTTAATCATGTTGAGCAACCATGACCACTATCCATTTCCAGATTTTTCCATTAACCTTCTTTCTCTTAAACCCACACTCTGTGACTTAAAGTTCACTTGTTTTGCTTATGTACTCAATCCTGTGACTCCACTAAAACCACTCATCAATGTCATGTTTGACCTTTACTCAAATTCACTAGCATTTAGCAAAATTGACCACTTGGCTGCTTCGTGGAACACTTCAATTGACTGCCAGCAAATTTGATTCTTCTGATTTTTCTCCAGCTTATCATCTCTTCTCTAGGCTCCAACCCTCGATTCCTAGATGTTCTGTATAAGTATCCTTTCCCTTGATGACTTGATGATTCTGTTGAGTTCTGTAGTATGTATGTATGTATGTATGTATATACACATACACGTTGTTATCATGTCCTGTAGAGTCAGAACTGACCCATAGTTGATCCTCCGGCACATTATCAGAGGCAGTTAATCGTACAGAAGGAGATTGCCTATCTAGATGGTTTTCAAATATGTATCTTACTCTTGCCCTCTGTCTCATATCTAGACTGCTTTCCATCTGTACTTGAAAACATGAACAGATTTCTTCAATGCAACATATCCAAAATTTACCTTTTAACCTATTTTATTTTCTCTTTTCCCTCAAACATTTTACCTCTCTCACTCCTTATCCTTGACTTGAGTGTTCCACATTTCATTCCAGTAACTCCCACTTTGTATGCTGCTTTGACTCTCATTCACTTCTTGTCTGGAATTATTATAATTACCATGTAGCTGATTTCTCTAGCTTTGTCTCCTTTCTTTTAAAAATAAGAAAGATAGTTACTGAACATGATGATTGTATTAATGTTAATATTAATGAAGACATCTTTTTAAATACAGGAAAGACTCTTCTATTCAAAACCTCACAATGGCTATCAGTTTAACTGGAGTGTTTTCAAGCCATATTTTAGATTGTGTCTGGTTCTTTAAAGCCATATTTTTGTATCGTAACTTGATCATATATAGTAAAGCTCATCCATTATGATCAGACCTCTTGTTAACTCTCTGGTTGTCTCTGCTAGTTGCTCTTTGTCTTAACATTTATTTTATATTCTGTTCTAGCCAAAATGCCAGGCATACCAACTTCTCCCAAATTTAGCTCTGATCTTTTTCTCCAGACCAGAATTAAGAATTCTTTAAGAATTAGCTTACTGGCTAATTTCTTCCACTCCTTTCTCGTCCTTTCTTAAAACTCACCTTATTGAACTCTGGATTTTTCTTCCTCTTTGATAGTATAGTTTAGACATGCACACACATTCAGTTTTTGATTCTCCTTGACTGCTCTACTTTTTTAAAAAAATAACCTTTATAATTTTAATTGACTTCAGTTTATGTGACTATTACATATTTGATCACTGAATATCTTTCTAGTGCCATTCTTTTAAGAGTTTTACGTAGTGAATATCTGGTAAGTAAAGAACATCTTAGTCTTTGAAATTCATGTGTTATTTGCTATTCTGTGGTCTTGTTCTTCTATAATTTTAAGTGTGCATTTATAGTTAACCTGCTTAATAGATTAGGCCGTATCAATAATTTATTTTTAAGTATAAACATTTATTTTTCTTAATCTTACTAGACAGAATACTCTGACTTTTTCACCATGTCTACCTAGGATTGGTAGCTGTTATATACCTAGTTTGCTCTGGTTGAAGATCGCTGTGTTTGACTAGATGAAAAACATTTAATAGTATTCTGAAATTCTGGTCTTAGGTCACAGAATTATTGTGGAGGATAAAGTAAGAAGACAAGTGTAGTTTTTTGAAGACATTTAAAGCTACCAAAAAAATATAGTTTATTATGGATGCTTAAATGATTATCACATAGTCATATTTTCACTATTAAAAATAATCACCACCCAGGAGTAAATGAGAGAAGCTCATTTACCTTTAATCTGGAGCTAATTTACCTTTATCCTGGAAGATTGACATTTTTTTCAAATTCTTTTAAAAAGCTTTTACTCTTGAAGTAAAGGTTGTATTAATAGAATTTTTAGTTTTAAAAACATTGCAGACAAAAATTAGCAGCTGTGCGGGAAAATTCTTAATTGAATTTTGATTTGAAGGCTTTTTTCAAATACTTGTATTTTCTGAGAAGTTTGAAACAATGAAACCTGTTTTTAAGGCAAGAATTATTTAAAAGGGTGCTTTGGGAGTAGAGGTGTACTTCTAAGTTTTTTAAAACTCCAAAATCTATACACCGTAAACACCTATGAAGTTATAGCGTCATGTAGCTGAATTTGTCTTGTGTCTTATATCTTAAGTCATATAAAATGCTTTATTTTCTTTTTTTAGGAAGATACATTTCAGCAGTATGTGAGACCAGAGATTAACACGCAGCTTTCTGATTTCTGCATCAGTCTTACTGGAATTACTCAGGTTATACTTTTCTAATGTTTTTGTTGTACGAATTTGAAAGTATTAAAATGTGGAATTGTGTTTTGTAGATAGTTTTTAAACATTTTTTTTTTGTAAACTGATTAAATTAATATAATACTTTGGCAGAGATCTTTCACATTGTAAAATTAAAAAAAAAATATGTTTACTACCTTAGAAAATTTTTTCAGCCCTTTTAAAGGAGTTGTAGTAGTGAATCTATAGATAGTGAACAACTACAATCCCAAAGGCAAAGAGGTTTGCTCTGTCGGCTGCTCCATAGGTGAAGAGCTGACAGTCTCCCATGCAAGTAATTGCCTCTGAAAACCTGCTAGAGGGTCAGCTGTGAGTCACTTCCAACTCGTTGGTGCACAATAAACAACAACAGTGGTGAATTTATAGATTGTGAGCATTTGTAAAGTGTTGATGCAGTTTTAATATGTTATCTCCTTATAACTTGACTGTATATAGTTTATTGTGATTTATACAGTCAAATGCCTTTGCATAGTCAGTACAACACAGATCAACATCCTTCTGATATTTTCTGCTTTCTGACAAGATCCATCTGACATCACCAGTGTTATTCCTAGAGGCACGACCTCTTCTGTGATTGATTTGAATTTCTGGCAATTCTCTGATGATGTACAGTTCTATCCATTTTCTAAGAATCTTCAGTAAGATGCCTTGCAAGTAATATAGAGATTGTTAGATAATTTCCCTATTCTGTTAGATCACCTTTTTTAGGAATAGGAATAAATATGGTTCTCTTTAAGACAGTTGGCCAGGTAGCCGTCTTTCAGATATCTTGGCACAGACTGATGAACACATCTAGAACAGCATCTGGATTCTGGAACATGTCAGTTACCATTCCATCAATTCCTGAGGTCTTATTTTTGCCAGTGCATTTAATGCAGCTTGAATTTCCTTATAACCTTTGATTCTTGATCATTTGCTATGTTCTGAAATGGTTCCTGGTCACCCAATTCCTTTTGATTTAGTGACTCTGTGTTTTCCTTCCATCTTCTTTGACTATGTAAAGGCATTTGACTGGATCACAACAAACTACGGCTAACATTGAGAAGTATGGGAATCTCAGAACACTTAACTATGCCTATGTGGAACCCATAGCTAAACCTAGAGACTAGTGTCCAAATAGCACATTTAAAATAAAAATAAAAAAAAGTTGTGCAGCAGTGAAAGAATCTTTTTAAAAAGAAATAGCAAACTGGGTGGGAGCCAAGGGGGAGGGAGGAAAATGTGCAACAGTGAATGAATGGAAATACAAGTTTTCTGAAGACTTTTGTTAAAATAATAAAAAAGAAAATTAAAAAGAAAAAAAATCAGTTTTAAAATCAAGAAAGATGTGTGTCAGCCTTGTATCCTTTCTCCAGTGGACTTACTCAGTTTGTATGCTGAGCAAATCATTTGAGAATCTGGACTCTATGAAGAAGAATGTGGCATCAGGACCAGAGGAAGACTCCACAACTTGTGTTATGCAAGTGATAACCCTTGCTTGTTGAAAGTCAGGAGGGCTTGAAGCCCCTGCTGCACAAGATCACGGACTACAGCTTTCAATATGGATTACACCTCACCATTGAGTCAAAAGTCCTCACCGTTGGACATATAAGCAACATCATGATAGATAAATAAAAGATTGAAGTTGTCGACCATATCACATTACTTAGATCTACAATCAACACACTTGGTACCAGCAGTCAAGAAAACAAAAGATGAATGCATTAGGAAAATCTACTGTCAAGGGCCTTTCCAGGGTACTAAAAAGTAAAGATATCAGTTTAAATAATAAAGTACACCCGGTCCATGCCATAGTTTTCTCAGTTGCTTGCTCTGCATATGAAAGTTGGATAGTGACTAAAGATGACAGAAGAATTGATAGCTCTGAGTTGTCTTGGAGAAGAGTCCCATGGACTGCCAAGAGAACAAACAGATCTTTCCTGGAGAAAGTGAAAGCAGTGTGCTCTTTGGAGGCAAGGAAGGTCCTTGGAGAATGACATTGTGCTTGGAAAGGTGGAGGGTCAGTGTAAGAGAGGAAGACTCTCAACAACATAGATTGATAGAATGACTGTGACCGTGATCTCAGTGTGTTGGAGATGCTAAGGGTGGTAGAGGTTAGGGCGAGGTTCAGATCTGTGGTCTACAGAGTTGTTGTGAGTAGCAGTCATCTCAGTGGCATACAACAACAATGTGTAGTTTCATTTTCTTAATTTTCTAATTTTTGTATGAGTACATGTGTTTTGAGTCCTGCTGATTTATTTCATTCCTTCATCAATTCAACAGTAGGTGGCCTAGTGTCAAGAAGCTGCGCTGCAATCCCAGAGGCATGTGGTTCAAGGCCACTAGTTGCTCCACAGGAGAACAATGTGCAGTCTCCTCTGATGTGGTTAACTGCCTCTGAAAATCCGCCAGAGGGTCAGATTCTAACTCTATGGTACACAACAACTATAATACTACTCAACATTAAGAAAACAAAGATTCTCACCACCAGGCTAATTGGCAGCATCATGATAAATGGAGAAAAGACTGAGGTTGTTAAAATTTCATCTTGCTCAGATCCATAATCAACATTGGTGTCAGCGATGAGGAAATCACCCTTTTGCACCAGTAGTCAGAAAATCGAAAGACAAGTTGCAGGGAGCTCTGGTGGCTTAGTGGCAAGAGGCTGCACTGCAATCCCAGAAAGACATGGTTTGAACCTACCAGATGCTCTACTTGAGAAGGAGGGGCAATCTCCTCCTGTACCATTGGATCCAATTTGATGGTATGCACACACAAAAAATAATTAAATAAGTGATTTTTTTTAAAAAAAAGACTAGTTGCATTGGGAAAAGTCTCCTGTCAAGAATCTCTGTCAAGAGTGCTAAAGAACAGTTATGTCAGTCTACAGACTAAGGTGCCTGACCCAGGCCATAGTCTTCTCAGTTACTTGCCGTGCATCTGAGAGTTTGACAGTGGCTAAGAATGACTGAAGAAGAATTGATGCCTTTGAGTTGTGGTATTAGAGAAGAGGATTGGACATACTATGGACTGCGCCAAGAGCAAGCTGATTTGTCATGGAGAGGGTGAAACAGATTGCTCCTTGGAGGTGAGGAGTTTGAAATTCTGTCTCACATAGTTTTGGCATGTTGCCAAGAGGGACCAGACCTTGGAGAAGGACATCATGCATTGAAGGGCAGAGGGTCCAGTGCAGGAGGGAAAAACCTCGAATGAGATGGACTGACCCAGTGATTGAAAATGGGAGCAGGTGTGTCAGAAATGGTGGGATTGGCACAGGATGGCTTAGAGTTCAGGATACTGTTCATAGAGTCGTTGTGCATCTTAGTCGATTTAACAGCATATAACAAGAACAACTGTCAACAATTTCATCTAAATTGGATCCACAATCAATACACTTGGTACCAGCAGTCAGGAGACATATTAACTAACACTGGTAAAGTCTATAGTCAGAGATGTCTCCAAATGACTGAGGAGCAGTGGTATTAGTTTGAGGACCAAGGTGTGCCTGACTCAGGCCATGGTCCTTTCAGTCACTTGCTGTGGAGATCTGGACAGTGAGTAAAGATAACAGAAGATTTGATGCTTTTAAATTATGGTGTTGGAGAAGAGTAGTGAATATGCCATGGACGGCCAAAAGAACAGTTACATGTTTTGGAGAAGGTGCAGCCAGAGTGCTGCTCCCTGGAGGCAAGGATGGTGAAGCTTCATATTGCATACTTTGGGAACCTTGCTAGGAGAGGCTATTCCTTGGAGATGGATACCATGCATGGAAAGGTGGGGCATTGGAGAGGAAAGGAAGACTCTCAACCAGGTGGTATCAGTTACAGAATTATATACTGCAGTGGGAAGCAACCTCTTGTATTTGGCTGTCAATAATTTTCAGTTATCTTAAAATTGAAAATTAAGGTGGATCTAACCAAAGTAGTCAATCATGAAATGCTTAACACGTTGCCACAAATGACGGCTATATATGTTTCTAAGCATGGTCATCAATTTAAAATTGTGCGGCAATGTGTTAAAACATTGTTTGCTGGCTCATAGCTCACTCTGCAATGGATTTTCATAGACAGTAAATTGCACAAAGGAAATTGCCCATATTTTTTCCCATGAAGCAGCTGGTGGATTCAAACCACCTGCCTTTGGGTTGGCAGCACAATTCCTTACTTATAGTAGACCACCAGAACTCCCTTAAAACAGTATAGATTTTTCTTTTATTTATTGCCTTCTTCCTTACATAATTCTGCATATATTGTAGGACTATGCCTAAAATCCCTGATTTTTATATATTTTACTTTTCTATCCTTAGGATCAGGTAGACAGAGCTGATACCTTCCCTCAGGTACTAAAGAAAGTAGTTGATTGGATGAAATTGAAGGAATTAGGAACAAAGTATAAATATTCCATATTAACAGATGGGTGAGTATTTAGAACCATTATCTTTTTCTTTAAAAAAACCCCAACAACTGTCTTTTAAGATTTAAGGAGCCCTTCATTTAACTACTTTTGAAATGACCCCAAGGAATGCACGATGCTGAATGAAGATCCTAGAGTTGCTCCATCCCACCCACTGTTATTGATTAGATACCAGCACTTCGCACCCTGTAGGACAGAGCAGAACTGCCCTGTAGGGTTTCTCAGGCTGTAACTCTTTACAAAAGTCGGTTACCTCATCTTTCTCACATAGAGTGCCTTGGTGTGTTTAAACTACTGACCTTGAAGGTAGCAGCCAAGCATTGTAACCACAATACCACTAGAGATCCTTGAACTAGACTCAAGTTGCAACAGATTCATCACAATCTTTCATTTGCTGCTTGTGCAACTTTTAAATCATTGAAAAAGACTTTGGGCCCTCTCTTGCAGTAAGGCAAGGTTAAATTAAAACCATCTGCATCTCCTCCTACTTACCTACAAACTCAGCATAAAGACATACTTAGGAACAGATCTGTTTGTAACCACTAGACTGCCTGTGCTTTTTACAATAGTCAGGCTGGCTCAGGGATTTGCAGTAATAGTTTATCTTTCTCCTATGTATTTTTCATACTTCTTTTCTAAAAGATCCTTTTCTTCATCATTATTCAAAGTGTCCCTTATTTTCTACCTCAGAATTAAAAATTACATTGATCTTGTCCCTCCTTAATGTCTTACAGCCGCTATGAAAAGTATCAGTTGGATAGGCAGCTGATAGTATATTCTAAAATCAAAACTTTATTATAAGTTTATAAAATTAAAGATTTCTTTTTGCCAAAATTTAGAAGTCCTTCCAGACTATGAACTTTTGGTCTTGATAATTTTCTGTGATGTTTAATGATAGTACTAACCTAAAAAAATCCATACTCAGAAATCATTAGCTATTTTTACCAATATAGCACAGAAAGTGTGGAAAAAAACAAGGATTACACACTAGTTGTTTCAAGATATTTTGATATTGTTATGCTGTTAAAACTGACCAATATTCTGTTTCAAACTGGACAAATGATACACCGAAGCTGAAAGGTCATGTACATAAGAGGTCTAGAAATACTTTCTCAGCCAGTAGATGACTTTTGCCTTGTAATGTGAACTCAGTTAGCGGCTGACAATAGAACTACACCAACTGGCTTTGCTGGTTGTATAGAGGGTAGTACATCTTTAGCCTTATCTACATAGTGGGTCTAGAGACTAGTAATGATGTAATAATTATGTCATTACTATATTACTAATTAACTACATCATAATTATATTTCATTATAGAATGAAATTTGGGAAATAATTGACGAAACCTCCTTAGAAGTCTGTTACTTCTAACAGAAGTAGGAGACAACATTTGGTACAAACAGAAATTTGACGAGCTTAGGTAAGCAGCTCAGGATAGATGGAAGTTGCCTGGCAGAATATTTAAAATGCATAAAACCAGGAAATTTTGGGGCAGGTACTTGTTTTTAGTTCTCTTTAAATCCAGTTGAGGATACTCCTGATAATAGTATAACAACTGAGTTGAGAATTTTTTTTTTCTGCTGAAAGTTATAATTGCTACTTCCATTATTCCTTATGTCTTTGCCTAACACAAGGTATGTATGAACCAACACAGTTTCCAAGTAAACAGTCAGTATTCTGCTGCTTAATCACTGGACAGTAAACAGTCAGTATTCTGCTTCATCACTGGACAGTAAACAGTATTCTGCTGCTTAATCACTGGAATCAGTGTTGTAGAAGCATGTGCTATAGAATGGATTACAGTAACCATTTGAAATCAGCTGCTTATTTCCTTTTCATTTCTATTTTGTTTTGCTTTGTTTTATTTCAAGCATATCCTCAGACACCTTCTAAAATAAGCCTGAAGTTGAAAGTAAGTGTAGCAAAGGGTAATTTTAGAATTACGAAAAATTCTGTAAAAATGCCCACACAGGTAATCAGAACCATAAAACAGTCAAGGTGAGCTTATTTTATCAGTTTGTGAAATACTCAGTATAACCCAACTTTTAGTTTCTTTTTGATTTCCAAGTTTTTTACCTACTATAAGTTTGCTCAGATAACATGTACATGGTATAGCTTTTTTGCAAACCAACCAGTCTCATCATATGTTTAAGCCCTGTGTTCTCTGTGAGTGTTATAAGTAATATATTAATTTCTGTGGGCATGTTATCCCTTTGGTTAATAAGATGTTAATTTTATTATAAGCTGAATGTTATATGCAAACATGCTTGGAAAAGATGACATTGTTTTATCCACTTTTTTCTCATTTTTGATTTTACAAGTTCATGGGATATGAGTAAGTTCCTGAATATTCAGTGCCAGCTCAGCAGGTTGAAATATCCTTCTTTTGCTAAAAAGTGGATCAATATTCGAAAGTCGTATGGAAACTTTTACAAGGTAATATTTCTGTACTTTATTGATAGTGTTCTTAATGATAAATTTATTCTTTACATGTGCATTAAGTTGTGATTTACCAAAAGCTTTTCACAGAAATAAGTAGTATAATTAAGTTACTTTTCAAATTCTCAACTAGTTATCTTCAAAATAGTAACAACTTATGCTATTTTACTTATTTAACTTATCTGTATTTAAATAATTTAGCTATGTGAATATAACCTTCAGTGACAAGTGTTTCTAATTTTAGACTAATTAATGGGTGATTTGCTTCTGGAACAAAAGATGTCCACTAACTTTTCTTTTTCTTTCTTCTAAAAGTAAACTTTTAAAGATTGGCATTCCTACAAATGACACTCTTCTACCACAGCCTTTACTAGTACTGGGTTCTGGTCTCCTGAGGCAAAGACTTTTGAGTATTTTTCAGCTATTTACCTTATTATTAATTGCTTTCAAGTTGATTGTGACTCATAGTGACTACCTGTGACACACTAGAGCTAATCTCTTTTCCCCCCAAGAGTGGGTGTCCTTGAACCTTTTACTAGGGTTTAAGTCTGCCAAATTTATTAATTTTCAAATGAATATTCCTTGACTGACACAGCAATCTTTTGTCCATTTGCTGAACTGAACAACTTAGTGTTGCTGTGATGCTGCACACTGTTCCATAGTCTTGTCAAATACCATAATGGTTACCCATTATGTACAGTGTTTGAATGAGCTTCCAGATTGATTTATGCTGGGAAGCAGGAGTGGCATCCACTTCCTTAACTAGATGCTTCTGGAAACTCTCCAGATTCTCTAAACTCTACAAACTTTCTAAACTCTATAAATGTGCAGAAATGATTGTAGTTATAGAACAGAGTTTAGGTCTTTTGTGCAAAACTTACTCTCTCATATTCGACTTAATGACACTTAACCCCTGCTAAGTGAAACTAGTACTGTTATATATCTTTCAGTTTGTACATCACTCTTTGTCAATGTGCAGTATGAAGTAACCTGGGTTGCTGTGATGCTGAACCTTGTGCCATTGGGGTGTCAAATATCAGAATGGTTTTCCTAATGAGGACAGTGTTTGGTGGAGCTCCCAGTTGTAAAACAGGTTTGGAAGGAGGAGTGGCATCCACTTCCGACACCACATGCCTCTGGAAATCTATGAACTTGGTGAAATGACGACAGTTATGGAAAGGCATTAGGTCTTTTGTTCATAGAGTTGCTATAAGTTGCACTCGACTTGACAGCAGTCAACAACAGCAACAAGTATATTCTTTAGGGAAGCAGGTTGCCTTCTAAGTATTGGCTGAGTGAGTTTGAACTGCCCAACCTTTCTGTTAGTAGTCAAATGGTTAATTGATTTTACCACTCAGAAAAACCCCTTAAACTCTTTGTCATTAAGTTTGAATAGAATCATATCTGACCCTTTACTGGGTTTTCAAGGTTGTAAATCACACAGGCAGCACTTACTCATATGTCTCCTTCAGATTTGATCTGCCCAGAAAGGCTAGGCCTTTAGATTGGGCTTAATATTTACTTGGATAGTTATGAATTGTATGTTTATACTATTTCTTAAATTTTAAGTTTCAATTATCAAGTTCCTGTAATGAAAAGGAAGATTTATTTAGTGGTTAAGCCACCACTCCTGCATGCCCTTCATCTTTCCACATATTCCTAATAGAGCTGCCTTGCTTTACTAGTCAACTCATTATTCAGTGATTACATTCCTAGGACTGTGCAGTGCTCACAACTTTTCTTTAGATTTAATAATCAGCTCTGTTATTTACTTGTTCTGGTAGTCCCATCCAGGTTTTCAGTACTTAGAATAATCAGATATTCTGTCAATTTTTCTTTTCTGTTTTCCTTTTGTCCTTATAGACTACCTTACTGGAGCCTTTAATCCTGTTCTAATTTGAACAGTTTGTTTTCAGGCTCTTTCTTAAATCTTTCCTCGGGGATTATCTAAGCTTGACTGTCATGTGTTAGATCCTGTAACATCATCTGTCTTTACTGTCTCTTTTTTAGTGAAGCAAATTCTATAGTAGTTTCATGGGAAAGATGCATTTCCTTAAAAGCATGCTTTTACAGTTTCATAATGTATTTTTTATAACATTTTTAAAAACTGAAACATATGCCTAAAAGATGAGGGCAGGGAGACTTTAACCAGCTGTTTTAGAAAGTGATCACTTTTTTATCTGTCAGCTTATCACTGTAATAGTTAACTTCCAGCTTCTCAGAGCTAACCATAATTCATATTTTCCCAGCAACTGTTTCTTTGTTTTTCTTTATATCTTTAGTATTTAAATTTATATCTGAAACCATTTAGTTTTGTCTGGTTTTGAACTTGACATAAGTAGCATCATATTGCATATATAATTTACTTTCCTTCATTAAAATTATGTTTAAGTTTCATCCATGGATAGATACAGAGAATTTATTTATTTTGTGTGTATGTGTGTATGTATGTGTGTACCATCAAATCTGATCCAACTGGCACAGGAGGACATGGCCCCTCCTTCTCCAGCACAGCATCTGGTGGATTCGAACTGTATACCTCTGGGGTTGCAGTGCAGCTTCTTGTCACTAGGCTACCAGACCTCCCTAGATATAGAACATTTAATTGCTTTGTAGAAGTGTGTAAGATGGGTATAGAGCATTGAGTTCCTTTGTTGAATCTCATTATATGAATATCCTGAACATTAACAGTGTATTTATTCATTTTACTTTGCATGCCAATTTGAGTTGTTTTTAAATATGAGGCTTTAAAAAAAAAGAAAAAATATGAGGCTTTTATGATCAGTAGTCGGTAGGGAGGGAGCTTTGGTGTCCTCGTTGTAAGGAGTTGCACTGCCAACCAAGAGGCACAGAGTTTGAGTCCATCAGCTGCTCCATGGGACAATGGTGGGCAGTTTCCTCCTATGTGTTTTACTGCTCTGACACCTGCTGGAAGGTTAGTCAGCCATGAATCGGTTGTATCTCGATGACACGTAACAACAGTGAGGAGCTGCACTGCTAATCCAAAGGTTCTCTTATATCTCTGTGGATATTATCTAACATCTCTCCTGTGATTTACAGCCTCAAAAATTAAAAAGGTCGCATAGTTTGATGGGTAGAAAGGCTGAAATGAAGGAAGTGAGAAAGATCCATTGTGAAAAACAATGTATGTGAACTTTGTAAATAAACCAGTGTAAAATTTTAAAAAAAAAGCAGAGATATGAAAAAAAAAAAATTCAGTGGCGAGTCAGTTGTGAATCAGTTCCTGTTGGATACTACTGAGTTTGAGGTTTGGTTTTTTTTAATTGTCTTTTTTTGAGACTGTTATAAATATTTTTTACACGCCTTCTGGTACCTTCAAGTACTTATTTCTCTAGGGCATAAACTTAGGAGTGGAAATACTGGGTAATAAGGTATGCGCATCTTTAACAATTAACATAAGATAAAATAAATACTTTTCTAAAGGATTTGTATCCAGTTATACTCTCACCAGCAAAGTATGTGAGTTATAGTTCTGTGTCTGCTGATAGCTCATATTGCCAGACATTTTTGTAAATCTGATAGAAGCTTATTGGGGTTTTGTCTGCTTTTCCTTTAACTATACACATAGTTATTATTGAGAGCAGACATAGCAAGACATGGACCAATTCAACAGTTGCTGCATGTACAATTTAGTGATACTCTTCATATTTTTTCAATTGTACAATCATGCTTATCTTACTTTTCTGTAATTTTCTTCATTAATATTAATAGTGCTTTTAAGTATAGCAGAGATTGTTGGGATGGCCCAGGATCAGCAGGTTTACCATCTGTTGAAATGGTCTGAACTGGCTTAATGACATGTAGCAGGTTCTAGTTTTAGTATTTTGAAGAACAGCCACACTTTTCCACAGCATCAGTAATATTTTACATTCCTACCAGTGTTGTTAGAAAGGGTATTCCTTGGAAATAGCTCTGGTGGCTTCACAGTAAGAAATTGTGCTGCCACTCCCAACAAATGTGGTTTGAATCCACCAGCTGCGCTGTGGAAGAAAGATGTGCAGTCTCTTCCCCAAGAGATTTTCTGCCTCTAAAAACCCATTGGAGTCTCAGCTATAGTTAGTTCCAACCTGAAAGCATACAACAACATTGCTTGGAGAAGAACATCATGCTTAGAAAGATGGAGGGTCAGTGAAAGAGAAGGCCGTTAACAAGATTGTTGTGACTGCAGCAGTGCTTTGTATAAGTCAGAGATAATGAGGATGACACAGGATAGGACAGTGTTGTTCATAGGGTCTATGTTATTCATAGCATTTTGAGTTGTACTTAGTAGCACTGCAACGTTAACTTAAAAGTTGCAAGAACACGGAAACAGCCCAAATATCCAACCACAAATGAATGGATTGAGGAATTATGGTACGTTCACACAATGGAATACTATGCAACACACGGAGCAATGATTTTGTAAATTATTACCTAACTTTGGAGGGATTGGAAAGTGTTATGCTGAGTGAACTAACTCAGTCCAGCAAGGTTAAATATTGTGTAAAACCACTGTTGTAGAATGAGTATAAGGATCCAAGAGGGGTGGGAGAAGGTGGAAGCAGAGGGATGTGGATGTGCAGGGGGTAGGGGTGATTATTCATGGGTTGTACAATTTAATGGGTGGGGGTTGAGGGAAATTGAAAGAATTTGTTCAAATTTGTATTCAAATTTTGTAAATAAATTAGTTGTTGTTAAGTGCCGTTGAATCTTAGACTACTCATAGTGACCCTATGAATGAAAGGCATGAGCACTGTTCATAGAGTTTCCACAGGCAAGCCATTTCAGAAATGGATGCCACTCCTGCTCCCAAGCTTCTTTTAATCGGAAAGCTCCACCAGACACTGTCTGCCATGGGTAACTATCATCACATTTGACACATCAGTGTCACAGTGTTTAGCATCACAGCAACCACGTGTTACCTCTGTAGAGCGAATGGACAGGCCAGTGCTATACCACCTAGAAGAATGACTATAAAAACCAATTTGAACCAGGCC